ATTATTGTTACTACTGTTATTGAGATGGAGTCTCACTCTGTCACTCAGGCTGGAGTGCAGTGGCACAATTATGGCTCACTGCAGCCTTGATTCACTCAAGCAACCCTCCCATCTCAGCCTCCCAAGTAGCTGGGACTACAGGTGCATGCCACCACACCTGGCTAATTTTTTTGTTATTTGTTGTTGTTGTTTTGTTTTTTGTAGAAACAGGGTCTTACTGTGTTGCCCAGGCTGGTCTCAAACTCCTGGCTTCAAGTGATACTCCTGCCTCAATCTCCCAAAGGTGCTGAGATTACAAGCATGAACCACTGTGGTTGAAACACTCTGTCTCTTATAGTTGTTATAATATTCAGAATCTAACAAAAACAATATTTATAGGAACATATCTGCTTTAATCTTGTTTATAATTCTGATAACTTCACATTTATTTTAACAGACAGAAAACAGTATTTAATCACTTATAGGGTTAATTTTTCTTGTATTCTCTGTGTAGGAAACTGTTGGTAAAGACTCAATTAAATTTACCTAACATTTGTTGAAAATTTAGGTGCCAGGTGTAATATGGGGTTAAAAAAATAAGACATAGTTGTTTCTCCAGGATTTAAAAGCTAGTTAGGAAAACACAATACATAATTTCACAAAATAATATAAAACTTCTCAAAAGCAAATTTCAGCCTTTATTGTAAAGTGAGAGACACATAAAAGATTCCTGGTAGAAAACAAAATAGCTATTCTCTCTAGGTCCACACCTGATGTCAGAGTGAACAATAGCAGCTATTGGATGAGGTGTCAGCCATGTGCAACATGTTGAAGTAATAACATTCTATGGCAAGATATTCTAATTTTTAAAGATTTATAAAATATACACAAAGTGAAAGTGGCTCTGTAAAACTGCATCATTTAACACTTTGACTATAACAAAAAAATTGACTTTGGTCTTAGCTCAGAATAGACGAAGCTGGAAACATATTATTGCTATTTGACCTTTGATGTAGCTAGGGAAGCAGTTATACTAAACATGGATATGCTTTTTGCTTGTTGATGAAGGTTTATTGTTGTTTTTAACTTTACTGGTTGTCCCATGAAAAATCTAAAATTTTGAAAGAAAAGACCAGGTATGGTGGCTTCATGCTGAGTATCTC